AACATCGGGAACCTGTTCAATATTGCTCAATGAAGTTTAATGCACATCTCCGACATCTCAAATTCGCCGAAAATCGCTCAGATGTTCCGATTTCCCGTGCAGAAATCCTCCGTTGTGCGCCAGGTGGCTGCTGCTTCTCTGACAGCTGAGTCCAAAGTCGCTGTTCGCCCGACGCGTTGATCTTGGCGAGGAGCTCCGGGCTCTCCCCTGGCGGCGAAGGCGGGGAAAGATATGGGAGATATCTGGGGAATATGGGCATGGGCGGCATGGGATTGTTTCTTTTTCCCGAAGCGCTATGCAGCCCCGATTGAGCCACACGTCCGCAGCAGCGCACCCAAAAGTGGCTGATTACTTCAAATTCGGGGCGGGAAGAAGTGAATAAGAAAAAGTAGAGGAAAATTGTTCTTTTGGGAAACGCTGCGAACTTGCACCTTTTACGCCGAAGCGGATGGAATGGGCAAGGTTGGACCCATCCATCGAGGGCGTTGAAAAAACAATTCAAGATAACAACGAAGATTTTGTCGGATCTAAGATGCTGATGTGAATGGTTCCGCGACGCACGGCAGGGTACGTCACAAGTCTGACTTTGAGGAGGCAAATTGTACCGGAAGGAAGAGAATGATCTTTTAGAAGGACCGTGGTCTCCGGCAAGCCCCTGGCGGCCCTTGCCAGCTTTAGCTGCTCATGGAGAAAAATAGGACTGTGTCCGGTAAAGGAGTGGTACTGCCTTTGGCCCCTATTTGGGATCTGAAGCTGTGATTTATCCCTAGGCCTACGCTGCAAAACATGAGCAAATTGCCAATAGGCTAACATCGGTGAAACAGGTGCAAACTGAACTCAGGTGCGTCAGCTCATTGTTGGTGCAGGGGTCCATGCCAAGAAAAATGTCCTGGAAGAGATATGAGTTGCTGACGCTGTTGGTAAGCTCATCCACTATGTAGTCGACATGGAGGATATTTGTCAACTCAAATGAAGAACCTAGGATCTGCTGGTAAGAGTTCCTTTCGTTCTTGCTGAAGGGGAGGTGGTAGTCACAAAGGGCACATGGTCTTTGTAAAATGAAATTGTTGCATCGATGTACATCTCTAATGAGACCTGTTTCTATCTGGTAGTGAAGGAAGAGCTGCTGAATAGTTGTGGAAAATCCAAGTGCTACTCTGGGTCCTTGTTCTTCATGTAGAAAGATATTCCAGTCGAGGTTGTTCATTGTAAATCCGGTAGCTGGTAGTCCTCGAAGTAGGAGTGCTTTGTTGTCAGTCGTGGATTCCAATGTCTTCAATCTGGTATCCATGGTGTCGATCTGAATGTGAATGTTGTGCTGCTCGAGAGTGCTCAAGTGTTGGAGATTCGACCTGTTGAAGGTCAGTGAAAGGTCGCTTCTTGGTGAAGTCAATCTTCTGGAGTTTGCCTTGTCAGGGTCGAAGTGAAGTACTTCTGGAGAGGTGAGGTTGAGGGTAAGGAAGTCTGCTCTAGTTTGAGGTGAAGATCGAAGTTCCTGTTGGAGTCCAAAGTCCGAGCCTGATAGCTCTACATCCTTAGCTGATAGTGCAGTGAGAAACTCTTTCCATCCTTGGTCTGATCTGGGTTTCTTTGCAGGAGAAGACTCTCTGGTAGTAGCTCGATGTTGCCTGATAAGTTCAAGTTCCTTCCTGGGGTGAGGGTCTCAGTGGTAGTAGGGGATGTAGTCGATGTGGCTTGAGGAGGTTGAGCTTGAGATTCTGGCTGCTTAATATCCATGGCTTCAATTAGGAATTGCTTCAACAAATGTGTTTTGCAAATAAACATAGTAACAAGTGAGGGCACAGCCCAATCAACATGTGGTCCATGAAAGTAAGCATTGAAGGGGAGGGAAACTGAAAAGGGCATGAAACTTGGGGCATGCAGTACCAATTGGCATGACAACATTGCTGACTGTGTGGCAAAAGCTAAAGCTCGTGTCAAATGCTGGCGGCATGGGAATATGTGGGGAATATATGGGGGAATATATCTGTGAATTGGGATAAATGGTGGTGATATTTCAGTCAAAAACCCTGGTACATTCGGTGACTGTCCACAATTGCCTTTGCGTAGATCAATTAGATGGCACTTTAATGTGGCAAGCCCAAGAATAAACCATACCCCATTTATACCGAAATGCGACCAATTTCGGAGGCTTATCATTAGGTTTCTCGTTCCCAAGTTGGGGCTTTACATCTGCCATCTTTTCAAACCAAATGCCAATGATGAATCTATTCTCTGGGTCCAAATTGACAGTTTGAGATGTTCATCAAGAATTTCGTCAGCATTCATATGGCCAAGTGTGCGACGCAAAAAGTAAAACGTTTCTGATAAAGATTGACCTTCATCATCCCAATTGATTGTCATATCAACCCAATAGTAATAGTGACATCCCTTACCATTTATTGGTATGTACAGTATTATATACAGGCACCCCTCAGATAGGAAATAAAATTCTTCGTTCCAAGCATCGCTCCAAGTGCTATCCCCACGGTTTCTGCACCTTGCGACTCGGGCTTGCTCCAGCCATCCCACAGCTCTTGCGTTTCACCGAGATCCTCCAGGTGCCGACGCAGGCTGAAGTCCAGTTCCTGGGGACAAAAATGGGCCATGTTTATTGGAAGAAAATAACCCATAAAATCTAAATGGATGGCTAATGAATGTAATAACGTATGTAATAATAGGTTAATAAGTTAATAATGGTTGATGGTGAATGGTTAACGGATGGTCTCATCATGTTTCATCCAACATGCGGAGAAAATAGCTGGTTAGTGTGTGTGTGTGTGTTTATGCCCCAGTCATATGGTAATAGGTCAAAATACAATCCCCTTGTATTAAAGCGAAGAGGTTCATCTGCACCAGATCGTCTTCAGGATCTTTTTGGAAGATGTTGGATGGAAACGGAAAATTGGAGGGTTGGTTTCAATCTAAATTTGGAAAGCAGCCGGTTTTTTTGTACCAGAAATTATTGGGAGTTGTAAATTGTCCTCTGCAGCGTGTTGGGAGGGGTCCATTGGTCCATGTGTATCGGTGTGAACGCAGTGTATCGGTGCATCGGTGCGAAAAACGTTTAGCGGACCCCAATCCCCAACGCTATGCTTTCTTGCAATCATGGGGGAAATTCATCTAGTGTTGGTTGATGGATGGACCATGGATCGAAACCTACTTCAGTCAACGGATTCCTAGGTTCAGGGGGCATCCTCCTTTGCATCGTTTACTTGCTTTATGTCCTGGCTCAGGCGCTCGCTCCTTGAGGACACTAGGAAGATATCAAAGATATCCATGGCCCTTCCGATCCTTCTGGCAAGGCACAAACCATGAAAGACTCCAAGGCAGTAGCCAAATGTTCTGATCCCAACCTCGCCGGATGCATCTGGAAGTCACACAGGTGAAAATGCAAACATACCTCAAATATATTACATGTGTAGATCATATTCCAGCACTCGTGATATGTAGATATGGATGAGCTATGAGTTGTGTTTGCCTGAGATCTGATGACAATGCTCGATCAGCTCACCCTGAAATTTCCCAGCTGAGTGCAGTGCTCCACTTTGTATATCCAAGGGCGCTTGCTGCCCTCCTGGCAAAGGCACTAGCACTTCGTAAATAGACAATTGTTGGGAGGGAATTGTTGTCTCAAATTGCAGGTACACCCCCGAAATCCAACGTGGAACTGCATGCTATTCCTGAAGTCTCCTAACATGAACCTATGGTACGGTCTCAAGTGGATTTTGTTCCCCAAGAAATCATGCAACTAACTTTATCAATAAAATCATTCAAAATCTGACATGGAACCCAATGCAGGCCCAAACTGAACCCAAACTGCACCCTGAAACAGCCAACATGGAGTTTGAACAAGTTATCACAAAGCGATCTACAACCTTGAAGGGTGATTTGAAGGTTAACCTGGAACCCAAGTGGTTCTTAAGGCGTGTTCCTTGAAAATTCCATGTTAGTGACTTTCGGGCGACCCTACTTTTCACTTCGTATTACGCTCACGTTTTAATAATTATTCAGGTTCCAGGTCTGTGGTGGGGAAAGAACTGAAACCAAAACACCTCCAAGACAAGGTCGTGACTTATTTTTGGATATGTGTTGGGTTCCGTGTTCGTCGCACAACCTTCCAAAGTAAGCCGCAACAGGCAGAAAACCTGACAGCGAAGAGAGAAAAAACAAGCAACATGAAAGGATAACAAATATCAGCAAACTAAGAAAGAGATGGAAAGAGCAACAAGGAGCAAAAGAAAGACAAACGTGACAATTTTATGGTGAATTTTATGGTTTCCCTTGTGGGTTCGACGACATGTCACTTTTGGTGGACTGGTTGTTAACTCACTACATGTCCCAAGTTTGTTGGTATATAGACTCCCGTATATTGTTGATTATGATTAAATTATGATTCTGTTATATCATCCCTGTTTAGCTTCCTTGGGTCGTCATTTGTGGGGCTCCAATTTTGTGAGTCAAAGCGCTGAAAGTTTCCTTCGTGTCCCAAATCTGCCTCTGTCGTGGCCATAGCTGCCACCACGTGAGCTCCCAATGCCGCCCTGAGGCGACAGCCCTTCAAAGGCTTGGCGTAGGTTTTCCAAAAGGCCTTTCTCTCATTGTTTTTTTTTTGTTTTCATTTTCTCGTAGTCATCAATTTCGCTAATCTGTTTTCAGGGATTTCTCGCCATATCCCAACTGAACAAATTAGATCTCATCGGTCACATGGCCGACATGGCCTCTTTGGCCTAAGCCCAGCCTCGAAGGTTGGTCTTGGCAGTCGGACTGCTGCTAGGGAGCCACTCCAAAACCCTCCAATGCTCCGCCTCCTCCTCTGTTAACTCCGAGACCGACCTGTAGAGATCAAACTGATCAAACCAACCACTCTGCTGTTCAAAGTCAGGCGACATTGTGGCAAGTGAGGAAGTTTGAGAGATGAACAAAGTTGAAAAACCTAACTGTGTTGCCACCCCTATATCACGGCACCATTCAGAAATGGAACAGCAACTAATCCAGTTTGCGCCTGCAAGTTTCTCAAACACAACCAACTTGCAAGTAAAAAATATGGGTGTGGATCAAGAATGGAGCGCCAAAAAACCACAAAGTGTGCCACTTCTTGCACTATATACATATGAGCGCAGGTCAATCCCTGGCACCGTGGCAACATCAAAATAGCTGCCAAATGGATGTTCATCCTCCCATTCCTCCCAGACCGAGACAGTAATCATGGGGCTGCAGAGTGCCCCCCCCAGTTGCACCGCCCCCGGATTGCAAGGTGGCACCAAAAATTAATAGCGGGTTATTAAGTTTTTTGGTTCCGGTTTGGAGGCGCGCGCTGAAGACAAGGCGCGCAAATAATCACAAGCATGTGGTTTTGATATTAGATGGTTATTAAAGGTTTCTCTTCCATTTTGGAGCTCGCGCGTTGGAAATACAGCCCGCAAACACTCAAGGGCAGGTGTTTTCTTATTAGCTGTTTATTAAGGCTTTCAGTTCCGTTTTGGAGCTCGAGCGTTGGAATCGCAGTGCGTAAACAGCCATGGGCATATGCTTTCTTATTGGCTGGTTAATAAGGGATTCTGCTTTGGAAGATTTGAGAGCAAAAGATTTGCAATTGAAGATTTGGCCTGTCATTATTTTATGAGGCGCATCGTGGGGAGGCAACCAGAATTCCGATTCGCATCCATTTACTTTGGAACATTTTGGATCCCCAATGAATGTTGGAACTTCAAACCGCTTCAGGCGGAGCCAAAAAAAAAACATATTTTTTGTTGCTTATGGTCTATGAGTGGTTTCAAGCAGCTCGTGGGAAGTGGAGGTATTGGGGCCGCTTCCAGAAATAATTTCCCACCAAAAATCCGCCCACACCGCTTTGGCGGTGAAGGCGTGCTTATTGGGGGGCAACAGCAACACTAAATGCTCAATGACATTTGTTAATATAGCAGTCGCTATATCAGCTTTAGCTGGGGGGGGGGGGCCAAAAACGGTTTCGCACCGAGACCAGACCCCAAAAACGGTTTCGCACCGAGACCAGAATACGGTGGTGTTTTCGACATTTTTCGAGGATTTTTGGGTGTCTGAGCGCAAGAGGGTATTGAAATGGAATTTTGGGTCATTTTGGTAGCTTTCCGGCAATGGAAAAACGGCCAAAAATGAAAAAAAAAATTGTACATAGCAAGATTTTGCAGGGTTTTTGGATGCCAGAGCATTGAAAACACTGCAAAAACAAGTGTTTTGGACTGACGTTATAGCAAAAAACGTGTAAATTACCGTATGCTTGACTGGAAACATTACAAAAACACTGTCAAAAGCAATGTTTTGGAAGGATTTACTGCCTTTATGGCAAAAAACGTGTAAATTACCGTCTGTTTGACTGGAAACATTGGAAAAACACTGTCAAAAACAATGTTTTGGAAGGATTTCTTATTTGAAGAGCCCCCACGGGGGAAAACCACCCTTAGCCCCTCTCACGGACCGAAATAAACCTGCGGTGTGGGCGGCCACCCCACGCGAAGCGGGGTGAATATTTAATAACAATCTATTAGTGGTTTCAAGCAACTCGTGGAAGGTGGCATTCTTTTGACAGCACCACAAACTCATTGCCCACCTGAAATCCTTAATAGCCATCTATTACTGATTTCAAAGGGAAACCGATAAAATGCGCAGTTCCAAATGGCAAAATCTCTGTTAATAAGCTGTCGATAGCTGGTTAATAACTTGTTTTGTGTCCCAACAAATAGAGGTCTATTAGCTGGTTAATAACCTGATACTAAGGGCTTATTAACCTTCACTGCTTGTTGCATCCCCTTTATGTTCTTATTTTTCTGGGGGGGGTGCAACTGGGGGGGGGCACTCTGCAGCCCCATGAAGTAATGATCAGTCATTGAGTGGGTAGGGATTCGATCATCTGTGATCCATGCCATAAACCCATCACTGACTCGTTGATCCCAGGCTTCCCCAGCATCCAAGAAGCTTTTCAAGGCTGGGGGCCACCTCTCGCCTCCTCACATCTTGCAGCACTTCTGCAAGGTGACAATGAACATCCACCTACGCAGGTTGATGAAAGAGTTCAACAACGGCATTCTTCGCCGCAAGAGGAACTGACAAAGGTACTTTTTATACATTGATATGCCACGTGTTTGGAGGGCTTATGTTTTTTAATACAAATGGTTTTAGGTGGTCCTATTGCTACAAACACCCATATATGTTTTCATATCAACTAGTATCTATTATATGTGGGCATGGGTCACCCCTCCCGTCCACCGTGCACATCTGGCATTCGTTTGTTCAATAGGGTATTGAACGCAGGGGTATTGAACAATGGAATTTGAACGGGGGGGGTATTGACGATGGGGGCCCTTCTGTTCAATGGGGTATTGAACGGGGTATTGAATGAAATGGTCACGAGATGTCACAAGTACCTGTTCAATGCCAAAACGGTTTGACTCACAGCCATGTGTGACTATGGGATTATGGGGGAAACAATTGTAGGAAGTATGTGGGGGGAAGCCGGGGCCCATCATAGCACGCAACGCATAAACAGTATAAACTTTCCCATCCAGAACCACTTGCTGACGGGTCACATAAGGTACAGATGTCAAATCATCCACTGGATCTGCCAAGCTTTGCCTGTGGGGCGGGCGCAGGGCTCTGTGGCTCAGAGCTCAGCCCACACACGTCACAGCCCCGCCGCCATGCCCATGCAACCACGGTGCAGACTCAGACTGAGGCAGTCCCCTGTGGCCAAGGTCAGCCAGTCGCAAATTTGAAAAATGTTTCAAGTCCGTCATTTTGGTGGTCGTGAGCTGAAAAAAAACTGGGTGTTCTAATGTTTCCAAACACATCTGCAATCAACCATGCAAGTTCACATTTTCCAGTTTCGGGAGCCGCCTGGTGTGGGAAATCATTGACATGACTAGTCGATATGTTGGAATCAGACGAAACCTCCCTGCACCACGCTGTGGACACATCTGGGTCCTGCCTGCGTTGTAGCCGGTCCAATTGGGAACGCAGCAATCACAAGGACGACGCCGGAGGAAACCTCATAAATCAAAACTCCGATGGGTACGCGAAGTGTCCCTTCCCTGGCCAGGAATGAAATCACACTCCGGCTCAGCTGATAGCGGACATGGATACGCTGGTGATCACAGGCACAGGGTTGTAGGAGGGATTCAATGCTGCAAGAAAAGAAAGGGGTTCAAAGTGAAATGCCTGGTGTCACTTTTGGATGTGGCAACACTTCAACTACATCCGAGACACGTCGAGGCTTCTGAGCCAGTTTCTGTGCAAATTTGCACTCAAAGGCAGCGACATCCGTCCCTCGCTTCATGCAGGAAACACGGTTTTTCAACGTTTGTTTCGAGTGATGCTTCAGTGGGTGAGCCAAAAACCTTGGCCGAAGCAACCGTTGACAAGTGGTGTTTAATATGGTTGCTTGGTGTTCAGCGCACGCTGCTGCAGATGGTTACAAGTCATGGTGCTAGTCATGGTGCTAGTGTGGCGGTGAGCCTGTGTGCCGAACCAAAATGCCACAAGGTAGGTGTGCCTTTTCTCAACAAACATCCGTCCCATTCGGCCGCAATTTCGCCATGGCCTTTTTGTTAACATATCTGGAGCAGCTGTGCAGCATCGCAGCATCATTCAATCCCATTAAATCATATTAAGTCCCCTTAGTGGCAGCACCTTACGTGGGTACCCTCTGGTAAACTAACATAGCTATGGAAAATCATCATTTTTAATGGGAAAACTCACTATAAATGGCCATTTTCAATAGCTATTTTGACATAACCAGAGGGTAAGCCCTTTTGTGCCCGCCAGGCCCAGGTCACCACATAGAGCCCTTTTTGTCAAAAAGCAACCCGCGATGTCTTCGAGGAAGCCACTCTCTGAGCGCCGAACCTGCATCGATCTCAAGAGATTACTTCACCGTCTGAAAATTAGGTATCCCCGAATTTGATTGTTCATCAACAGATATCAAGAGGTGTCCAATAAGAATTACCATATGATCCATATGATATATTGCCCATCAGACAAACCCACGTGAATCACACCACCAAGAACATCTAACCAGCTGGGCCCTGAGCCGCGGACCGAAGATTCGTCAAGGTCACCTTGGCTCCACGTTGGGGAGCATGAGCCCTTATCAATCTTATCAATGGCCAACGATCCAACGATGGTTGATGGAAAATAGAAGCACCGAAATACTGCCCGGTGTTCCCCTGTGGCTAGGGGTAATGAATCCAGTTCAAAAATTTTGAACAGCATTTCCACATGTTCAGCCCCCAACTGGATCAAATGGTAGGGCTCAAACTCAGCCCTCATTTTGGAGATGCTTTAAGCAAACTCATGTTCACCTCCATTTACAGTTTCGAAACCCTGATCATCTTCATCCAAAACCAAGTCTACAAGCACCCCAACAAGCATTTGTGCCAAGCTACATCTACACAAGCAAGAAAGCAAGGCTGCAGCCTCAATGCTCCTGCACTGACAGCAAGAAAATCGTGTGGGCGTTGGAATTGATTGGGACTTACTTGGGTCTGTTTAATAATAATAATAATAACAATAATAATAATAATAGTAACAATAATAATGGCGAGAATAATAAGTTGTCCCAAAATCATACAGTAAGTTTCAGAGGAGGCCTGTATCCAGTGTCAAGACAAAATCATAGATCCGGATGCTGTTGTCATCAACTTTGCAACTCGGCCGTTATCATCCAATCATCGTCCTAAATATCCAAATGCAACTGGTGCTTTACCCGCCCACCATGATCCCTGGCCTCATTGCAGCTCCAGCCAGGAGAATCTGAATACATATAAAATCGGTTGCTTTGCTAAAATCATCTCTCTCAGCAGCTCCTTGACTAAAACAGCCCAGTTGTGACACTTCTGTTCTTTTGGTTTCCGCAACCCAGTGTAATCATGTGTAGTCACATTTTCTGGCAGGCGACGTGCCTGCAAAATGAAGCTCTAAAAATTTCTTTTTTCATCTGAGCTGCTGGGAAAAGGACAAAAATATCACTTCCGCGAAAGCATGACCTTTAAAAATGACCATCTGCCCACTGCGGCAGATGGACATGGCCAAGGTCGCACATCTGCAGCAATTGACCCTACATGCCAAAAGTCCTTCCGAGTGTTATCAATTCTTGATGCTTTCATATGTCACCAAAATCCCTTCGGGGTAATCACCATCCGTCAATCTGTTGTGATAGTAGATTTCTTCATCTTTTTCCTGAGTTCATTCCCTCGTCCAAATTGGTTTTGCTGCAGTGTTGTGAGCTGCCCTGTTGCGCCACCATCCTCATTTCAAACCGAGGTGCGGTTCGCGGCAAGCTTCTGCCATGCATTTGCGTTCCTGATACTTGAAATTTCGATTAATTCGCAGACTAAGCGGACTAAGCCAAGCAAATCACACCTCGCCGTCAAAGCTCTTGTTCTCCTTCCATGTCCTGTACGGGGACCCCATATCTCATGGGATAACTGTGCATCTCCGCTAAATATATATATATATACACACATAAACGTATATATATATATATGATATATGTATATTTGTGTGTATATGTACTCTGTGTGTGTGTGTGTACATCTATATGTCTACTTATTTATTGATTGATTCCTTCCTCTATTCATGTGTTTATCCATTGGTATCATGATACATTGGACCATAGCTTATGTACCCCCAAGCGGTCACCTTTGAGCCTTCGGCACTCAATACAGCGACATCTCTGGCTGAAATGAGGCCATTTGGGGATGATTTTCCTCGGGTTTCCATCATTACAGTGATGTCGCAGTGAGACCATTAGAATTCCTCCAGTAATATGGACCGTTTGTGGCAAGCTATCCAAAATTCACACAGTTTTGATAGGTGAATCTCCACACTTAGTTGGTTTGTGGTAACCGCAATGCCATGAACCATCCCTCATATCACCTGAAATGGATTGAAATGGGTGGTATGTATAAATCAAAAAAATGGAAGGTTTATTGGGTTTACTACTTTCCGGCAAGCATATCACATCCCCATCACATTAATATACATTGTTTTGATGGTTACCCTTCGGTCAAACATGGCAATGAGAACAACATTTAAATAACAAAAAAAACTCTAGAGACGTCTATTTCTTTCTTTTTTTCCCATGTTTCCCACTCTTTTTTCTTCCTCCATTTTGAGTGCGGGTCCCACGTTTGACGAGGGCCCGCAGGTTTTGAAATCGCTTGCGGCCTGCAGTTGCGGGAGGTCCCCATCGCTCCACGAGCGACGCACTTCCTTTTTTCGCTGGGAGCAGGGAATCAGCCACGAAAAAATCTGGGATCAGCTGGGATCAGCTGGGATGGGCTTAGAACATGTGGCTTAACCCCCAGAGATAGAAAATCATGGGGTGAATCAGTATGCCATTCAACCATTGGCTGCACAGATTTTGGTAATGGTGCGGGACCTCTGTCAACTCCGGTTCCTTCAATGTTGCTGATGAAATGCGGTCACCAGGTGGACCACATTGTTCAACCAACGAGAATTGTCGTGATTTATAGTCAACACCTATACATATACATACACAAACATCATTATACATATACAGTATACATATGAAATAAATATATATATATAATAGACAGTAAATACCAACATAAATACATGATATATACTATATGCATATATCTATATATATATACAAATAAATGACAACAAGACTGACTGCTTGGAGGGCTCAGCCTGTTCACAAAATACTACGTTTTTTACATGGTCAAAACTAACCGTTACTACATGGTCAAATGGGGACAATTCATCAAATGGGAGACTACAAAACACCCCAAGGAGTGGGAATCAACCAGTTGCAACTGCATGCCGTGGATTCCTAAAGTCCTCCAAAAAATGGCACCATTTTCTACGGTGAGTGGGTTGTCTTCCCCAGGAAGTCATGCAACTAACTTGCCGGTCGCTACATGGTTTTGAGCTACATCCTGATGTCTCAACAAATGAGAAAAAGGATTTAACCAACCAAAGTTGGCATTCAACCAACTGTAGATGGTTTGAGATGTTTAAGCCTCTGATCACCTCATTGTTTTCCTCTGTCATAGCTATCACCCTACCCAATCAGTCCTCATCAAGGAAAACTGACCTAAGTGGTAAACGGTCAGGTAACCGGTAGCGGTTCAGGTCTTGTTGCCAAGCGAGCACTGAGGAGGAAACTCCATGAAGGTGCCCTTCACCCGCAAGACTACATTGCTATGAACAGCGCGTCCGTTAGCAGGAAAGGACCTGCCGCGGACCCCGAAGCATGAAACATGGAAACATGCTAAACACCCTTGAAACAAGAGATGTGATTCAACTACTGTATGTTTGACTAGCATCTTCATCGAACGATGAAGGATTAGGTTGAGTAGGCTATTTTCAAGTTATTTCCCATTCTGGTTGGAGAGAACCCCTCCGATTGAGCCGATCATGTCGTCAGATCTGCCCAAACAATCACAGCTGGTCGCACGCGGTGGGTGGAGCTGTTTGCTGTCGACTCAGTCGGCCTTCCTGAGCGGTGGCTTCACCCTGAGGGGTTCCATAAATGGGGGATCCCCAATAGCTAGATGGTTTATAATGGACACTCCTATTATAAATACTATCCTATTCATGATTTAATGGATGATTTACGGCTACCCCCTTTGATGAAGGCAAGGCCACCGGTCAGATCGCAAAAAATCGATAGACCTCACGGCAAGCTTCGCCAAGGCAAAGGGTCGACACGTCAGACAAGCCCATGTCACTCATGGCGTCATTGACATCGGCTGTACCATCCTGTCGCAGCAGGATGGCTTGGGTTGGATCCCCACGAATAATGACTCCAACCCCATCACCAAACATGATTCAGGAATCGTTGAATCGTAATCTCCGGAGATTTAAGTGCCTTGAACATATAGGCCATAAAATACGCCCTCACGTTGTACACCAAACATGGCTGTCCAAAAAAAGGTTGCCCTAAAATGGATCATGTATGGATCATGTTCCACCATGTGTCCCCAGTGTGCACCATCTTCAGGCCCCATTTCTACGCCAGTCGCCTGAGGCTGACCTGAGGAAAAGTTTGAGGATGGGTTCGACCTTCCTCGATGTTCTCCTGCCCAGGCCCCAGGAAGCTCCAAAATCAATGGGACAGTGCTCAGACCCTTGGGTGTTCCCTGCGAATGAAATGGAATCGTAAATTGTTGTCCATGTTTTTTGTTGTACATGGGCGTTGCGGGGCAACAGAAATTCCAGGCTCTGCTGGAATCCAGCGAAATCATCGGCATCCCGTGGGGGGGCCTGACCCTGCGGGGTATGATGAGGACATGCTACCATAGCCATTGTGGCCATTGTAGTGTTGCATTGCAGCCTCAGAAAAAGAGCATACCGAAGCGGACCAGGAAGGCCCCATGTCAACAGCCTTGCATGGTCTTCTCTCTAGAATGCCTCGAAAGAAACAAGGGATAGTTGGTACCAGCAAACAGGTCGGGATAGGTAGAAGATCAGACCTATAGTGACGCATAGATGGAGATAGATATTTGGGTTAGAACCTCAAGCATGTCAACCAAAATGACTGATAGGGGCTACGCTACAACCCACCTGCCTGCATGTGGGATGATACAACCTATTGCAGTGCCTAAATGGGTATGGGTCAAAATTAGGTACCCCAAAATTATGGATGGTTAATACTAAACTAGACTAACATCTGTGGTCCCCTAGGTCTTCCATTTTGACCCACATCCAAATACAAACCCAGCCATTTCCATCTATATGTTGATTATGTTGCTGTTTTGGTTGAAGATGTTAAACGAAAGATCCATTGAAGACCAATGATTTTACATGATTGTACTAAATTATTGTTCTTACTATTACTCTTGCCATTGCTACTATAATTACTACTATTATCATTGTTATCATTTAATTACTACTATTATCATTGCTACTATAATTACTCTTACTATTATTACTACTATTGTCATTGTTCTTACTATTAGTTACTATTACTAATTGCTACTAATATCCAAATACGTGGTTTACTCTCTAAATTCTAGGATTTTGAGGTAACTGAGCCTTGGGCAGCCTCGTCTTCCCAAATGCCTTGAAGGCCACCCATGACATCGCAACCTCGGCTCATGGGAATGGGAAATCCATGGGAAATCCCCATATTCAGGACATTTCATGACCAGATATGACCAGCTTCATACGATTTTTCATTGAAAATCGGGATTGCGCATGGAAAATCCCATTGCCATGCTGGTTTCAAGAGCGTAATGATGTGAGGAAACTCTGGTGTGATCTACCGCCTTGGCTGGCCACACGACTGTCTCACATGATTGAAAATGTCAAGATATCAAAATTGTTCAACATCTGGAAGCTGAGGGTTGCGGAAGGTGATATGCCAGGCCATGTGAATGCCACCTCGTCTTGAACGCTGAGATACCAACCCATCTGCCCGTCCATCGACATGTAGTCATCTTCCATCGGGAAGCCCATATATCCCCTCCGGTGCATCCAGCATCAACAGGCACAAGAGCACACAAATTATCCACACCACTGTGTCAACAGCAGAATCTGCCTCAAATGTAGGAACGCGGCCAAATAGATGAAATATGATGAAATGCCCATGACTCTGAGGCTAGGGCATGCCCATTTGTGCGCCCCTCAGTTCCTTCACACCATGAGCGTAGCGGCAAGTGTCACCCGCCTGACAGATTGATCAGATTGCTCCGTGATCGTACTCGGAGTTCCAGCGCCCAGTTTGACGGGAAATGTCTTCTCTCCCATGGTCCTTCTGCGTTGTTTTTACTCAAATATCCTGAAACAACTGGAACTTAAAACCTCATCCTTCACCAGCCCCACCAAACCTTCCTCACCCACCACCCCTTGCTCAAACGGTGGACTCCCCTCAAGAAACCCACATCAGCAATCCTGGTTATTTTTGAGGTACTTAGATCTGGAAAATGGTGGGTCATGAGCATATAGACCGGGAGGATTGTATGTATTATGGCAGCTCCACCCATGTGCACCTCA